ATGGAGGGGCTGTAGAGGTGAACGTATCAGAGAGGGGGAGAGGTGGATGAAGAGCGAATAAGAGAGAGAGTGAGAGAGAGAGAGAGAGAGAGAGAGAGAGAGAGAGAGAGAAGGAGAAATAAAAGAGAGAGGGAGAGATACACGGTTGTGAGGCTTCATTTAGTCTATCGTGTTCATGCTGGTTATGGCAACCGGTTAAAAATCGAGATGTAAATCCGTTATTATGAGTGTTTGGAGGGTCTTTAAAGCGGTATGATACAATGACATGCACCAGTATGGCTACAGCGTGTTCGAAGGAATATCACAGGTGACGAAAGTCCTCTCTGCCAATACTACCTGTCTTTACCTGTTAGATTTGATAATTGTAATTAAAACGTCTATTCTATCTTTTTCTTTCTTTATATAACGGGAAATTGGACTGTTAGCCCCGTCCTGATCTTTGTAATCGTTTATTGGTGTGTATTCATGATCATTTCTTTGGTCTTAATTAAAAGGACATCTTTAAAATGTTGCTTTCGTTTTTACAGATATATACGATCGTTAAATTTGGTTTCAAGACAGTTAATTGCACACCATAATGTGTTTATTAAGTCGAGACAGGTTCGTCTACTTAATCAACAACCTCCCTCTCCTCCCTACCCCCCCCCCCCCCCCCCCCATTTCTCTTTCTCTCCCCGCTAGGCTCCGTTATTTTCTTGCCACTCACTCGGGCCTCCTTTTTCTCCCTCACCCCCAACCCCCAACGCCTGTCTCAGGTGCACACACATGCCTGGCAGTTGACGTTTCCCTTCAGCGTAGCGTGGGTTTTTACATGATTCAGCTGTACGTGCCCAGCGCCCTGGTCGTGTTCCTGTCCTGGGTCAGTTTCTGTCTGGACCCCTCGGCCGTGCCCGCCCGCATCTCTCTGGGGATTCTCACCGTGCTCACCATGACCAACATGAAGACTATTGCAGTGTCTTCCCTGCCTAAGGTGAGGAAACGGTGGGTGGTTGGCGGGTGTTTCTCTAGTCTGGCGGGGATTGTCACCGTGCTCATCGTTACCAACGAGTGGTTGGTGGGTGTATCTCTGGATGGGGTATTCTCTCCGTGCTCACCGAGACCAACATGAAGACTACTGAAGACTATTAACGCAAGCAGTTAACTATTAATCATAAAGTATTAACTGTTAAATATTAAGTATTAACTGTTAACTATTAATTATTAACTATTAAGCTTCTTAAAGTGAGGAAACGGTGGGCGATTGGAGGATGTTTCTCTAGTCTGGCGGATATTCTCACTGTGTTCACCATTCCCAACATGAAGAGTATTAACTATTTCAGTTACTTAACAACTGTTAACTATTAATCATAAGCTGTTAACGATTAACTATAAACTATTGACTATTAACCCTGCTTAAAGTGAGGAAACGGTTGGTGGTTGGTGGGTGTTTCCCGAGTATTTCGTGCTCACCATGATCAACATGGAGACTATTGCAGCGTCTTCTCTGCCCAAGGTAACGAAATGGAGGGTGATTGGTGGGGTTTTCTCTTGTCTGGGGGAGATTCTCACCCAGCCTACCATGACCCACACGAAGACTATTGACTAAATTATTGAAGTATCTTCTTAGCTTAAGAGAGGGGAGAGGGGGGGGGCTACAGCTGAAGGGTATCTCGCTTATTAGTGGATCAAATGTTACCAAATTTCACACATATAACAAGCATAGTAAGGAGTCTTAAAATCCGTAATCAGGTTTGAGAAAAAAGTTTCGTTTTCATGAATACGGCGCCCATATTGGATTTTGCTTACACATTTCACATAATTAATACCACACTTATTTTTCAAGGAAATAAATTGTTTGTTTATTTGCATGCTCTTTGGCAAACTATAGATCTACAAATCTGTGAGATGAATTTTTACTAAACGTCCTAGAACATTTTTAATGAATTTTTTCCTGAGGTAGTATTCATGTTTGCAAAAAATCCGTGAAATTCCACACTCAAAACACCACCAACGAAAAACTAATCCATATATTTAAAAAATCATCATACAGAGTTTTAGTGTTACATCTTTTCTTCATTCAGTGAAAATTTCATGAAGATTGGAAGAAAAATGATGGAGTTATTTTTAAAA